CACCAATTCTTGCTCTTAACAATATATATTTTTCTAAAAGTAAGATCAGCTGAAAATCTCTGCCATATATAAAAGGTGGGTTTTACAGAAGACATTGCCTTAAGGTTTGAGAAAGTTTATGAAACAAACTAGACATTGGGATATGGGATACAGTTTTGCGGAAAATTACCAGTGGACTTTCAATGCAAACGCGTTGAGTGAACTGGGGCTTTGCCAAACTCCAGTGATTACTCTGTGGCCATTGCCACTATTCCGCAGTACGTGTGGGACATCCCCCCTCCTGCTCTCCCAGGCTTGGCAAGGCCTGAATTCAGAATGTTGGTTGAAGGGTACCTACGCCAGACCACTGAGTATTTACTAAGTAAGTATGAAATTTGGTTTCCCTGAAATATTAGGAGGAAACTACATCCAGGATGCTCTATTTGGCAGAAATTTACACCTAAGCAACTGTGAAACAGTTATTTCGAGATGGAATTTAAAGCATGGGTATTAACTTCTGTCTTTCAGGGGCTGTTGCTGGCCAGCATACAATCAATACATTGCTGTGATCAGACTAGCACTGCTCAGATATCATTGTCGCATTAGCTGCCTGTGTTTGCAGTCTTTAACAGCATGAACCTGAAGAAAAGGCTTTTCCTTTTATAGCTTCTTTCCTGGATTTGTGTGTTAGCCATCTAGCTCTAATGAAAACCTGGTACTGGCTTTGATAATCTTGATTCTAATGATCACTGTAAAACAACTGGTGAGTTGTGAATCAAGATCACAGGAGATCTGTGTAGAGGGAGATGAAGCAGATCACAGCAGTTAACTGCAACAGGGATTTTTTTTATTTTTTTTTTTTTTGTATCTCACTGATTATCTTCTCCCTTGAGGATCCATAGCAAGGACTTAGTAATTCAGATGTAGAGTCTATTCATCTGAACTAGGAAACATGATAATGATTAAAATAGTATTATTTTAATTCTGCAAAAAATTATTTGACTGCAGGAAATGTGCAAACATCTAATTTTATACTTTAAATATGTTCTTTCTAGTTTCAGAAACCAATGTGAGTATTCTTAGCTAAAAACCTGGCTGAAGAATCATAGAATTATATAGTCAGCTAGGTTGGAAAAGACCTTTAAGATTGTAGAATCCGACCATTAGCCCAGCACTGCCAAGTCCACCACTAAACCATATCACTGAGGGCCTCATCTACATGGTTTTTGAACACTTCCAGGGACACTGATCTCCCGCTTTCCTGGGCAGCCTGTTCCAATGCCTGATTGCCCTCTCAGTGAATACATTTTTCCCAATATCCAATATCCTGGTGCAGCTTTCCTAATTCCCAATATCCTGGTGCAGCTTGAGCTTCAGTAATGCTAACTATAGACTATTTTCCTCTTCTTCAGAATCTGTAATTTTTGTTCTGGAGAGGCCTTATGTTGCCTTTTGGAAACTTTGACAAAAAAGGTGTGTTATATTTGACAGATTCATGAGCTCATTATTAATCCCAGTTTAATAAAGCAAATAGAAAGTCAAATAACAGCGATAGTGTAGTTTCTATTAGCTTGAATTGAGCAGGATAGAAAAGCTATGAAAATGAAGAACATTTTATTTTTAATTTAATAGAACCACATAGCTGAATGTGTTCCTCCACTTGTATACTGTAAATGAGTTAAAGGAATGACATGATATTTCTCACCCTTGTATGGTGGAAGAGAAGAACTCAGTGTTTCTCTTTTAGGCATTCTAAAGGGGTATTTAAACTTTCCTGTCTGTAGTTTTTGCATACTTATACCTTTTTTAAAAAAAAAAAATATATCAGGCATTTTTCATCAAATTGGAGATCACAGAGGCTGTTTGAAGGTGTAATTGCTCTTGCTCTTCCTCATCAGGAGCCTGTTCCCAGAGTAAATAAGGTACTAGAAATTTATGTCCTTCCTGTTGTGCAAGAATTGCTCTTATTGATAGCCTTAAGGCAGCTTTACTAAGAGGTGCTGACATCTGGTATGCCTCTTTTCATTGAGATTCCTCTGAGGATCTTCATGAGCTTTTGCAGGGAAGAGTTTTTGCTGTGTTTCTGATTAATAATGATTTCATAATAGGCTTTAGAAAAGAACCTTATAAGATGGCTAGATGGCCAGCAGTGAGGGCTTGTGGCACCTAAGAGTTCTTCATGTTATTTTTGCATGAGTCTCTTATGTAACAGAGCCTGTAATAACTTCCTAGGAATGATATTGTCCTGGGTTCAGCAGTATCAGTCATTTTTCTCCTTCTTAGTAGCTGGTGATGTGCTCTTTTTTTGACTTTCAGCCTGAGAACAATGCTGATAACACTGATGTTTCTACTTGTTGCTAAGTCATGTTTACTCTGACCAAGGACTTTCTGAGTCTCATGCTCTACCAGGGAGGAGGGGAAGCCAGGAGGAAGCAGAGACAGGACACCTGACCCAAACTAGCCAAAGAGGTATTCCATACCACAGCACCCCATGCCCAGTATCTAAACTGGGGCCAGTTACCCAACTGCTCAGCTTGGGCTGGGTATTGGTCGGCGGGTGGTGAGCGGTTGTATTCTCTTCCCTTGTTATTTCCCTTATCATTATTATTATTGGTGGTAGCAGTAGTGGTTTGTGTTATACCTTAGTTACTGGACTGTTCTTATCTCAACCCATGGGAGTTACATTCTTTCGATTACCCTCCCCATCCCTCCAGGAGAGGGGGGGAGGAAGATGGGGGGAGGAGTGAGAGGGTGGCTGCGTGGTTCTACGTTGCTGGCTGGGCTTAAGTCACGACAGTTCTTTTTGGTGCCCAGCGTGGGGCACAAGGGGTTGAAATACTGACATATCTGATCAGAGTGTGTCTAACCGTATTTGTGATAAGCATTCATTGTTTCAGATTAATAGTCACTCGTCACAATGCTGATTTATTGGTTCTCAAAGTTGTTGCTTTTGATCTCACAGTTTCAGCATGTCATGCCTTACTTACAGCTGGTATTTGCCGTGTTAATGTTTATTGGCTGGGGGCCAGTGGGCCCCTCCAGTCCTTTGGAACTTCACCACTGAACAAGTGCAAAATCCAGAAAAATCAGTAAAACAAATGAGTTGTGTTGTCATTCTGGTCAAACCAGAGGGGGACAAATCATGGCAAAGTGCTGGGGTTTGGCCTATGCTTACAGAGCCCTGTTCAACACTACCCAGCACCTTCAAAAGGAAAAAAATGTCCCTGGATCTGATGGCAAAGCAACAGACAGCAGTACTCCAGCTCCAAGCACAGCAGCTACACCAGACCCATCAACAAGTACAGCAGCTACCCAAATCCCGACAACAGATACCGCAGACACTCCAACCACAGTGATAATTACTGCAACTAAACCAGAGGACCAATTTGTGCCAATATCGACTGCCACTGTATGCAAGGGGAAAAGCAAAAAAAAAAAAAAGGCAAGAAAGATGAAGAAACAAGATGAAGAAGCAATGGCAATGCATTTACTACCCGAGACAGCGTCTGACCAGGAGTCATCATCACATGAATCAGAGGAAGAAGAAGAGGAAGAGGTGACTTCTTGATCTTGAACCTCAACCGAGCCACAGAATATGCAAAAAGATGCTCCACATAAACCAGGGCAGCACATCATCACCTTATTGCTCTGATGCTGGGACAATGGGACTGATGGTCACGAGCCAGAAGATAGGGAAGCCAAGCAGCTGGGATCACTTGTTAGGGAAGGGGGAATTGACAAAGCAATTGCAAGAGAGAAACAGTTCCTCAGCCTTTGGAAGTGGCTCTTGGCAGCTATGAAAGAAAGGTTTCTATACAAAGACAATGTTATGACTCGTTAAACCAAGTGGACTATCTAGAGAAAGGCATCCAGTCTCTGAGGGAATCAGCCATTGTAGAGATAAGCTATCTCATCAAGCCAAATGCTGGGGATGCACCCATAGATACAGATGAAGTCGAATGTACACAACTCACGTAGTAGAAATTTACACGGAATGCACTGTCATCATATGCCCATTCATTGGCAACAGTAATCTGGAATGACATAGTGCCACCAACAGTGGATAAAATGATTCATCATCTCCGAGAGTTCAAAGACAATCTCACCCCTTCTATCATTTCAGCTGTGGAAAAACTGTCCCAAGAGTTCAAACAATTGAGAAATGATCTATCTGATCTCTCCAGCTCCTTATGTATATCAACACACACCTCAGCTATTAACAAAAGGCATCCTACTGATCGAGAGAGAAGATAAGCTATATGCCATGGGGCACCCTATGGTTTTACCTGTGGGATCACGGAGAAGACATGAGAAAGTGGGATGGAAAACCTACCTCAGCTCTGGAAGAATGGGTGCATGAATTGGAGAACAAAGGTCAAGGCTGATCATCCCATGAAAGCTGTGGCTTCAGTCTCTGGTGAGCAGTTTCCCAGGTGGAGTGGAAGAGCTGATTTTACTCCAGCTCCTGTGATAAACAAGACTAATCCCTTTCTACAAGACTTAAGTGTCCAACATTGTGATGACTATTAGATGGGCCCTGACTCCAGCTAGGTGGAGGTAGGGCACAATCTGATTTACTGGACTGTGTGGATCAGATGGCCTGGCACATCAGTCCCACAGAAATATAAGGCTCTAGTAGATACTGGTGCACAGTGTACCCTGATGCCATCAAGCTGTCAAGGAGTGGAAGCCATTTATATTTCTGGAGTGACAGGAGGATCCCAAGAGTTGACTGTACTGGAGGCTGAAATCAGCCTGACTGGGAGGAAATGACAAAACACCCCATTGTGACTGGTCCAGAGGCTCTATGCATCCTTGGCATAGACTGCCTCAGGAGAGGGTACTTCAAAGACCCAAAAGGGTACCGATGGGCTTTTGGTATTGCTGCTTTTGAGATAGAGGAAGTTGAGCAGCTGTCCATCTTGCCTGGTCTCTCAGAGGATCCTTCTGTTGTAGGGTTGCTAAAAGTTGACGAACAAGTGCCAATTGCGACCACAACAGTGCACCGCCTGCAATATCGCACCAACAGGGACTCCCTAATTCCCATCCATCAGCTGATCTGTAGACTGGAGAGTCAAGGAGTGATCAGCAGGACCCGCTCACCCTTTGATAGCCCATATGCCAGTGCAAAAGTCTAATGAAGATTGGAGACTAACAGTTGACTATCATGGCCTGAATGAAGTTACACCACCATTGAGTGCTGCCATACCGGACAGGCTAGAATGACAGTATGAGCTGGAGTCAAAGGCAACCAAGTGGTATGCCACGACTGATATTGGCAATGCATTTTTCTCAATTCCTTTGGCAGCAGAGTGTAGGCCACAGTTCGCTTTTACTTGGAGGGGTGTCCAGTACACTTGGAACCAACTGCCCCAGGGGTGGAAACACAACCCTACCATCTGCTACGGACTGATCCAGACTGCACTGGAACAGGGGCAAGCTCCAGAACACCTGCAATACATTGATGACATTATCATGTGGGGCAATACAGTGGAAGAAGTCTTTGAGAAAGGGAGGAAAATAATCCAAATCCTGCTAAAAGCTGGTTTTGCCATAAAATGAAGTAAGGTCAAGGGACCTGCACAGGAGATTCAATTTTGGGGAATAAAATGGCAAGATGGACGTAGACAGATCCCTACAGATGTAATCAACAAGATAACAGCGATGTCTCCACCAACTAATAAGAAAGAAACACAAGCTTTCTTGGGTGCAGTGGAGTTCTGGAGAATGCACATCCCGAATTACAGTTTGATTGTAATCCCTCTCTAGCATGTGACACAGAAGAAGAATGATTATAAATGAGGCCCTGAGCAACAACAAGCCTTTTAGCAAATTAAACAAGAGATAGTTCATGCAGGAGCCCTTGGACCAGTCTGGACAGGGCCAGCTGCAAAAAATGTACCATACACCGCAGCTGGGGAGAATGGTCCTACCTGGAGCCTCTGTCAGAAAGCTCCAGGGGAGACTAGAGGCCGACTCCTCGGCTTTCGGAGTCGGGGATACAGAGAATCTGAGGCCAGCTATACCCCAACAGAGAAAGAGATACTGGCAGCCTATGAAGGGGTTCGAGCTGCTTCAGAAGTGACTGGCACTGAAGCACAGTTCCTCCTGGCACCCCTGTTGCCCATGCTGGGCTGGATGTTCACAGGCAGGGTCTCCTCTACACATCATGCAACTGATGCTACATGGAGTAAGTGGGCTGCACTAATTACACAACGAGCTTGAATAGGAAATCCCAGTCGTCCAGGCATTCTAGAAGTCATCATGGACTGGCCAGAGGGCAAAGATTTTGGAATGTCACCAGAGGAGGAGGTGATGCATGCTGAAGAGGCCCCACCATATAATCAGCTGTCAGAAAGTGAAAAGCAATATGCCTTGTTTACTGATGGGTTCTGCCGTATTGTGGGAAAACATCGGAGATGGAAGGCAGCTGTATGGAATCCTCGATGACAAGTTGCAGAAACTGCTGAAGGAGAGGGTGAATCGAGTCAGTTTGCTGAGGTGAAAGCCATCCAGCTGGCCCTGGACATTGCTGAACGAGAAAAGTGGCCAGTACTTTATCTCTATACTGACTCATGGATGGTGGCAAATGCCCTGTGGGGGTGGTTGCAGCAATGGAAGCAGAGCAGCTGGCAACGCAGAGGTAAACCCAGCTAGTCTGCTACACTGTGGCAAGATATCGCTGCCCGGGTGTAGAACCTGGTGGGGAAGGTATGCCATGTAGATAGATGCTCATGTACCTAAGAGTCGGACCACTGAAGAACACCAGAACAACCAACAAGTGGATAAAGCTGCTAAGATTGACGTGGTTCAGATGGACTTAGATTTGCAATATAAAGGTGAATTATTTTTGGCCTGGTGAACCCATAACACTTCAGGTCATCAGGGTAGCGATGCAACATACAGATGGGCTCGTGATCGAGGGGTGGACTTAACAATGGACACTATTGTCCAGGTTATTCATGAGTGTGAAACGTGCTGCAATTAAGCAAGCTAAATGATTAAAGCCTCTTTGGTATGGAGGACAATAGCTGAAGTACAAATATGGGGGGGGCTGGCATATTGATTATATCACACTGCCACCAACATGCCAAGGCAAGCGCCAAGTGCCTACCATGGTAGAAGCAACTATCAGATGGCTGGAAACATATGCTGTGCCACACGCGAATGCCCAGAACACTATCCTGGGTCTTGAGAAACACATTTTCTGGTGACATGGCACCCCAGAGAGAACTGAGTCAGACAATGGGTCTCATTTCTGGAACAACCTTATAGAAATTTGGGCCAAAGAGCATGGCATTGAGTGGGTATATCACGTCCCCTACCATGCACCAGTCTCTGGGAAAATCAAACGGTACAATGGGCTGTTAAAAACTACACTAAGAGCAATGGGTGGTGGGACTTTCAAACATTGGGATACACATTTACCAAAAGCCGCCTGGCTGGTCAACACCAGAAAATCTGCCAACAGGGTTAGCCCAGCCCAGTCAGAACTTTTACATTCTCTAGAATCATAGAATCATAGAATAGTTAGGGTTCGAAAGGACCTTAAGATCATCAAGTTCCAACCCCCCTGCCATGGGCAGGGACACCTCGCTCGAAACCATATTACCCAAGGCCTCGTCCGCTTCCTGTGGTGCACATAAAGAATTTACTGGGGAGAAAATCTGGGTTATTCCTGCTTCAGGTAAAAGCAAACCCATTCGTGGGATTGCTTTTGCTCATGGACCCGGGTATACCTGGTGTGTAATGTGGGAAGATGGGGAAGTCTGATGGATACCTCAAGGGGATTTGATTTTAGGGAAAAACAGCCAATGAACTCCACTGTATGCTGTTGCCTGCTATGTAGCACTTTCATAGCCCACCAACTAGATGTCTTCAGGTCACCAGTGACTGGCTCTGACTTCCCTCTGACCATCATCTCAACAAAGAATGAATTTTGACGAAACCAGACGAGTTCTGCAGTATCATCAGCTGGCAGCGATCCAACACTGAACACAGCCTCTTCTGCTCTGAAAGACTGTTACAAGAGATGGAGCCCAACATCATGGGCTGGATGGATTCAGCAGCTTTATAGGGATTGGTCCATGCACTAAGGAATAATCTCTCTCTCTCTCTGTGGATGTGTATATATATATATATATATATATATATATATATATATATGTATGTATATGAGACAAGAGCGATGGAATATTGAAAAAAATTTGTGAGATCTGCGCATGACATAAATGGCATGGAATAAGGGGTGGATACTGTCCTGGGTTCAGCAGTAGCAGTCATTTTTAATCCTTCTTAGTAGCTGGTGCAGTGCTGTGGTTTTGCCTCTCAGCCTGAGAACAACGCTGATAACACTGATGATTTTAGTTGCTGCTCAGTAATGTTTACTCTGACCAAGGACTTTGTGAGTCTCATGCTCTACCAGGGAGGAGGGGAAGCCAGGAGGAAGCAGAGACAGAACACCTGACCCAAACTAGCCAAAGAGGTATTCCATACCACGGCACATCATGCCCAGTATACGAACTGGGGGCAGTTACCCAGAAGGGTTAGATCACTGCTTGGGTTGGGCTGGGTATTTGTCAGCGGGTGGTGAGTGGTTGTATTCTCTTCCCTTGTTATTTCCCTTATTATTGTTATTGGTGGTAGTAGCAGCGGTTTGTGTTACACCTTAGTTACTGGACTGTTCTTACCTCAACTGGTGGGAGTTACATTCTTTCCATTCTCTTCCCCATCCCTCCCAGAGTTGGGGGAGGAAGGAAAGGAGGGGAGTGAGCGAGAGCAGCTGTGTGGTACTGAGTTACTGGCTGGTCTAAAACCATGCAGGTATGTTGCTAAGTTGGATATATTTTGCTCATGTGATATGAAAACTTTACTGATTTCTGATACATGTCTTTACAGTGCTTTAAATCAAAGTACTTTTAAATTGCTGTTGGGAATATTCATTATTATTGTTTCAGAGCCTACTAAGTATAAGATGCAAGCATGCAGCATTTTTACAGAATAAGGTTGACTGAGTCTGGGATTTATTATATCAGTGTTCTGGTCTTGTAAAAGCATATTAATTTGTACATGGGCTTCCCTGTTGTATAAAACAAAAAAAAAAAAAAAAAAAAAGCAAAAGAAAAAGGTTCTGTTTGCTTAGAAGCAGCACTGTGTTAAGACTTAGCTGAAGCATGATTCTCATTTTACAAATTTTAGAAAATAATTTGGATTAGAAGGAATTGAAAGACTCTTAAAACTGCATAAAGCATACATATAATGCCACAATTACTTGACTAGTTTTTATATATCATGATATATGAGGCATGGCAACCTTTTGCCCTGTTTAATAATGACAAATAGTTCTGACAGGGCTGGGTGGCAAACACGCATACAGCTTTGGCAGCATACAGCCTGGTAGGATTAAAACAAAATTCCTGTGAATACTAAGCATGAGGTGATGAAAATTAGAATCTATTAATTAAAATAATTTCCCCCCGCATCAATCATTTTGCTTTATAAGTCTTTGAAGTTACAGGTTCTGTATTTTTGTTGCTGAATACAAGCACAATATAAAGCTCAGGTTGCTCAAGCAGGTGGGAGTCCCACCAGATAGACCCTCTACCCTTTGCATTTTCAGGATGGGGAGGGACAGCAACTCCCTCACACCCTGCAGAAGAAAGAACTCAACAGCGGTATTGGTAAAATAAACATTTACCAGCTTAAGCAAGGGTTGCATAACAGGGTACAAAATACAGGGAAATAATTGTGACTAGCAGTCAGACAGTAATTTCCACTTTTCTGTCTATTTTGTGCACCTTGATGCTGCCTCAGGGATAAAGTAGCAAGTACTCGGTGAAAAATTTGTAATGTTTGCCTCCAGGACTATGAGTTTCCTTTGATTAACAGGGAGGAATCCTGTTTTCCATCACTACATGAAATAACGACTTAGCTACTCGTTTATCTAGCTTCCAGATTTGGGTGCCCAAAGACAGGTTTTGTGAAGCCACTTTTTGTTACATTATTTTGCACTGTTCTGACAAATTTGTGATTAGAATTTCACTGTATGTCATTAAATGATCTGTGATATATGCAGCAGGTGAGTTTGACTTTTGCATATAATGTTATAACTGCACTTAACAGAAACAGCATTTGTGGAAATTAGCTTTTAGAGAATATAATCCAGGAGGATCTTTATTATTATCATTTGCTATAAAAGGTCTTCTCATTTTGCTTAGTAAATTAGTTGGTTGATTCAGTTACCATTCAGTTTTCCCCATAACCTTTTCTTGATCTGGAAATACAGTATGATTATTAGAATGCCTTGGTTACTGTTAGGTTGTTTGGTTTGTACTTTAAAATGCAGGAAGACAAAGTGTGGAAAGGTGGGTAAAAGAGGAAAATAAAGAGATAAATGTACAGAACTATTTTTAATGGGAATAATCACCAAAGTGTTGTTGTGATACATTCTGGGATAGAGGAGAGAATATGTTAATTAGTTAAAAAAATTAGTCTTTATGGCTTTAGGACTGCTTTTCAGAGCACACATCCAACCAGAGCAGTGCCAGTAGGGACTGAGGGACTGAGGTCTCAGTCTGCGCTAAGATAAACTGACCTAGGAGTTGTAGTAACTGGGTTATAAAACCGACTCCTAGCTTCCTAGATTCCTAGAGAATTCCAAAGCTCCTAACTTTGCTGTTCCTTCTTTGACAGAAGGAATAACAAAGTAGCTATTGATACGGAAACTTTAATTATTTCTCTTGACTGCTGCTGGAACACTGCAGTAAGGGGATGATTTAAAGGCTATGACCAACCTGGGCTTATCTTCCCAGCCATGTAGGGGGCTTCTGTATCAATCAGTCCCTGAATACATTGCCAGCTTCTCCTTTTTTAACTAATTATTAGCTAAACAACATTAATAAGGAGGGCAAAGCCATGAGACAAGGTGCCTCTCATGTTTCAGAATATAACCTAATTATCCAAGAAGTTAAAGAGAAAAAAGAGAAAGGAACAACTAGCCCCACGAAACAATCAACCTCTCTTTTTGCTACAAGCCAAATTATCAACAAAAAGGAGAAGATAAAGATGAGATCCTTAAAAAAATTAGCAGTCCCGTCTGTTGCCTCCAGGCAGGATCAACTACGCAGTGCAGTCATCACTTCCAGAAGATATTATTTTCTTTCTTTCTCTTCTTTCTGAATTTCAAGGCATAGTTTTCTCTTCCTTGGGCATTGTTAGAAAAGGGTGAAGTTTTTAAGATAAAATAATCATATAAAATAGTAGAAATGATTATATTTGAGAAATTTATAAATCAATAGTGTGATTTTGTATATTAGGAAATGTTGTAACTTTGTAGCTTGGTTTGCAGTCTTGCATCATGGTTACTCTATAACAAATGTTACAATGGTAGTCTTGGTAGCAAGAGCTAACATACCCATATA